TGTGTGTGTGTGTGTGTGTGTGTGTGTGCACGTCTGTGTGTGTGTGTGTGTGAGATCAATCAATCAATCAATCAATCAATCAATCAATCAATCAATTAATCAATTAATCAATCAATCAATCAATCAATCAATCAATCAATCATTCCAACCAATCAAGATCCTTGGATCTTGATTGGTTCAAGATCCTAGGATCTTGATTTCTTGGAGTCATTGATTGATTGATTGATTGATTGATTGATTGATTGATTGATTGGTTGATTGATTGATTGATTAGATGGATTGATTGAGTATAGTGATTGATTAGATTGATTGATTACATTGATTGTTGAGATTGATTGATTGGTTGATCGACTGATTGATTGTCTTTTGTTTTTTTTTTTCCGGGTCTTGACGATAGTTGGTGGCGCGCGGGCGAAGCCGGCGACACACAAGACCACCCAGCATCGCCCGCCGCGGACGCGGCCATAAACAAGGCTGCGCGGATCGGTCCGCAGACGCAAACAAGCCCGCGCGGACTTGTGGACGTGCGCGCGGGGTTGAACTTGGCCGGGGCCCACGCAGAGGAACGCCTAGGGCCTGCTGCGGAGGCGGGACACGTCGGGCCTTCAGAAGCGGTCCCAGGACTCGTCGGGGTTTTGGGGGGGGCGGGTTGGGGGTTGGGAATTCATTTTCCAGGGGTTTAGCCCGTTGTCATCTAAAATGACGGGTGGTGCGGGCGGTTCTGGGGGCGGCGATTTCGTTCCAGCGACCGACGTGCAGATGGATGAGCTGCGCAGGAAGTCAAGAGTGTGTCGTCATGTGACGTAGGGTCAGAGGATGGGGACGTGGGAGAAGAGGCACGGGGACTACAAGCTCTGCTGCAATTATTGCAAGCATGTGTGGCAGGGCAATTTGTTCAAGGCGCAGCGACACTTCACGCAGCTGAAGAGGTATGCGGCAGCAACAATAGACGTGTTTGTGGACATTTGGAACCACAGAGAGTACGAGTTCGATCAGCGTAATCACCGCGGTATCATGGCATACATGAGGGAGCACGATATCGCGGATAGACGAGCCGTGGACGTCCATCGAGGCAGTAGCAGGGGCAGGACGGGTGGGACACAGTCACGGCCATAGGAACGTGATGCTGTGGAGGAGGTGGAGGAGTTCCTTGTCGAGGAGGCCGGGCGAGCAGAGGCCGGGGGCAGTGAGGAGGGTGGAGGGGCAGGCCCGTCACCCGATTTGTCGGGAGAGGATTTGGTTATGACTGCACGAGGAAAGAGGCCGGTGGAGAGTGGAGTTGAGGGCGTGCCGCAGGGGCGCAAGAGACAGCGGCAGTCAAGACTGGACGAGGTGTACGATCCGGATGGGCAGGCCGGATTCAGGGACACTTTTTTGCAGTGGGCCTACAATGCCGGTATTCTGTTTGCTGCATTCAGGAGGCAGTCATGGATTCGGCACAAGAAGCAGTTGGCCGCCATGCCTCGCGGAGTGCGGCCAGTTTATCCGTCCTTCAAGGATATTGGGGGCGCGGGTATTGATGAGCAGCGAGGGAAGGTTGCCGCGATGTTGAGGGAGGTCCGCAGTTCATTTGAGTCGGTAGGGGCGACCATTTTGTCGGACGGTAGGCAGTCGCGAGACGCTAGGCTTATAGTCAACTTCCTCGAAGCCGCCAAGCGCGGTGCCCTCTTGTACGCCACCGTCCAGCGAGACGGTTCAGCGTCCGAGACGACACAGATCGTCCTGAGGAGGTGGAAGACCATTTTTCAATCTTTCCCTCCGAAGGACGTGTTGGCCATTTGCACGGACTCTGCGTCAAACTACACGTCGGCCGCAAATCTCCTTGCGAAGGACTCTGATCCGGAGATTCACCGTATCACTTGGCTCACGCGGCTTATCACCTTTTCAGGGTGAAGAGCCGTCGCCGCACACTTGTGCACCCGGTGGAGACGCGATTCGCGTCTCTTTTTTTGATGTTTGTGTGTTTGCAGGCGAGGCGTAATGCCTTAGAGAGCATGCTTCATGACGACGAGTGGGACAAGATCCCATGGGAGCCGTCAAAGCGTAGACAAACTCTGTGGGTTCGACAGGTCATCCGCTGCGCCGATTTCTAGCGCAACGTTCAGCATGCTGTCGCTGACATGACCCCTGTCCACTAGCTGTTGAGGAGATTGGACAGGGGCGGCATGATCATGTCCACGATTTACTCATGGTCGCAGGAGTTGGTACGGCAGGTGGCTGCTGTTGACGTGCCTGATGACATGCGGGGGCCGTGTGTGGAGGCGGTGTAGATCCGCACTATGCATATGCTTGAGCCTGCGCATGCTGCGGCGCACCTGCTCAACCCCCACAGACGCTCTCTCCGTTACTACGAGTCCGCCCGTAAGACAGCTGCGGACCTCGAGGTCGTTACCGAGTGCGACTCGTTTTTCTTGGCGCAGACAGGCGGTGATCCGGCGGGGGATGCATACTTGCAGGTGCGTGAGCAGATGCGATCCTTCCACTCCAGGGTCGGCCACACGACAGACAGGGTGACGAGGGACGCCGAGGCGGAGGCCTGTGTAGGGGACGACGAGACGAGCAGGTGCGCGTCATGGTGGGTGGAACACGACGCATGTTTCCCGGATTCGCATGAGATCGCTGGCCGTGTGATGCACATGTGGATGTCCGCCTCTCCTGCTGAGACGAATTGGGCAAAGCATGAGCGCATCCACATGGCCAAGCGCAACAAACTCGAGTTCAGGAAGGTCGAGCAGTTAGTTGAGATTGCTACAAATCTTAAACTACTTGGATGCAGCGAGTGGAGTGGGGGGTACGTTCTTCCGTGGGGTCACATGGTGACCGCCGAGGCGCAGCCAGAGGAGTACACACACCCGGTGGTCGCAGATAAGGATGAGGAGGAGGAGCCTGAGCCAGAGGAGTGGGGAGCTAGACCTCAGGCAGGAGTGCCGACACACAAGATCGGTGCACAGGTTCGTCGCTTCCAGCAGGAGGGTGCTCGTCGCCCAGTGGGAGTTGCCGAGGTTTTCGGTGCCAGAGCCGAGATACTCCATCCTTACGACTACGTGCCTCCACCGCCAGCAGAGCCGGTGCAGGCATCGGAGGACCAGACGGACACGGAGGGCGGAAAGGATGTGCCACCTGGTGTAGATAAGATTGCGGAGAGACTCTACTACACATATGGAGGAGGAGCCGATGGACTCCAGCCACGCTGCACATTCATTCGGGAGAGCGACGACGATCCCATCCCCGCCAATGATATAGGGTTGGAGCGAGGACGGCGAGACGCTTCAGGCAGCACCAGCAGAGTTGCCAGACGTGGCGGTAGTGGAGATGCTTTAGGCGGGTCTAGTGGCGCACCCCTTGGCAGGTGCAGAGAGAGGGAGGTGACCGGGCTGGACAGCGCGGGCGACGACGACGACGACGACGAGCCGTTACTGCTTCGCAGAGCACGGTTGGCGCAGCAGGGAGCCGCGCGGCCCGCGCCTGCCGCCGAGGGTCTCAGGAAATCGGCGAGGCTGCAGCAGACGCTGGCGGGATCGACTTCAAGTGGTAGACGTGAGGCGTCGGACCACCTAGACGACATCGGAGCTGAGGAGCATTTCCCGATCCAGCATACACCCACCTCAGCACCTCGAGGCGACAGTCAGCAGAGGGAGATGCGCACAAGTGACTTTCAGGGCCTTGGACCAGGATTTGCGGGCAGCGGTGTTCGAGGGCGGACTGACGGGCGAGAGAGAGTGGGGGATGAGGCCGACTATCATCCTGTGCAGGGTGGTGGAGCAGAGTCTATGGAGGAGCTCCATGCTCGGATGGATCGAGAGGAGGAGCAGCGGCTGGAGGGGTTGCAGAGAGAGTGGGCGGGTAGAGATAAGTACATGGCGGAGCAGCAACGTGTTAGAGACTTGGAGACGAGTACTGCAGTCCGTGATGTGGGTGGGGTAGAGCATAGCGTTCCTACAGCCCCGCACGCGTTTCCAGCCGGCGCAGTGATACCCGACACCCCAGTGCCCAAGACGTCGCCCAGGGAGATGTGGACTCCGGGTCTGCCATGGGAGGAGAGTTAGGTGCGTCTGAGTATGGAGATCCGGCCGCGTCCGACGTCATACTTGGATTGTGTGCGGCGGGCACGTTGCAGCCAGGCGATCCAGCCACTCAGGAGGCAGTTCCTATGGACGGCGATTCAGGCGAGTTGGATGGAGGCCGTAGACCCGATGCGGAGGGCGATGATGGGGCGGGTGATGCCGACCGTCTTGCACCTGCGCACAGTACCGGTCCATCTCGATCGTCACACGGGCCGATTGGGGGTGACGCATGTGGACCTGTACAAGGCGATGCACATGTGGACGACGCCGGAGGCAGTATGTCGTGGGTGTTGGTGTTGCGTCATCCTTCACCGGTGGCGCACGAGGATGCGTCACATCTTGCGGAGGGTAGAGGTGGTGTTGATGAGGAGGGGGAGGGCGGTACGACACATGACCGTCCTGACCCAATGAGAGCAGATATGGAGGGGCAGATTACACTAGGCCTACTTGACCCTGACGCGTTGCACCATGCGGCAGTGGAGGATCCGATTACCACATGACTTGCAGGATCTGTCGGTGTCGTAGTTCGCTCGCCCCCGCTGTACACACCTTTGAGCCCTTTGTATTCCGGCTCTCCTGCGAGCTTGGAGCGCGAGCAGCAACGTTCAGAGTCTATTAGAGCAGCGGCTTCGGGTGCACGCACGACTCGCATCCCCGCAGTTACACCTCCTCCATCGACTACGTTCCGCGACAGTCCGACAACTATCACGGGCAGAGAGAGAGAGAGAGGCCACATGTCGTCGTCGTCATCGCCTTGTCTAGACACACAGCAGTCGCTTCGCCATCCGTGGAGCACAGTGCGACGAGTTGATGACGGTGTGCGGGGTGATTTCACGGCGCACCAGGCACGGTTGAGGGAGGAGCAGAGACCAACACCGAGTTTGAGGACTGCTTATCACATTCTCGACATGCCTAGATACGGCGCGCGCAGAGACTTACTTTTAGGTTCACGCATGGCCGCGCCTGCGTTGTATACTTCCGGAGAGGACGGTGTGCCGACGCCCGACCACATCTCGCGGGGTCTGTCTGTCTTTTGCAATGACGAGCGGATTCGACAGTGGACAGTCAGGGTCTAATGCACAACAGTCGCGGAAGACGTGTCGCAACATCCCATCGCCTATTGATGTTGCCGAAGGAAATGGAAGGACGATGCTCACACGTGTCGTCATCCCCCAAACACCCCAGATCGGCGTCATAAAGATCACCTCGGCAAGATCATCCACAACACTGGGCCTACACCTCCCCCTCGTCTGCCATCGCCTGCACATCGCTGTCTCCACGCATAAACGTCCACTGCGATCAATCGCTTGCCGTCGTCCACGTCGGCGCCTCGCAACATTGTCACTCTGTCGTTAGTCATCCCTCTGCGCATAGGCGTGCCATTGCCTAAAACCGTATCTTCTACCATCAACGCGAGAAGGTACGGTCATCGTGTTGTCATCCTTCTACTGCCCGCGTCTTCTACGGCGCCACACAAGTCTCCGCGAGCCTCTTCTACGACGTCACGTCTTCTACTACGTTGCATCTTCTATGGCTTCTCGTCTTCTTCCGCGCCGCTCAAATCTCTGTGACCTTGCTACGCGTCTCACTCCATCGCCCACAAGCGTGTCTTCTACCATCAGCGCAACAAGGTCCGCTTATCGTGTTGTCGCCCTTCTACTGCCCGCGTCTTCTACGGCGACAACTCTGCAGTCTCCCGCTGCGTCTTCTACGGCAGCCATCTACCGTGCGACGTCGAAGGCTGTCGTCTACTGCTGCGTGATCTACGGCTCCACCTCTGATCTCACGCGCATCTTACTTGGCAGTCGTCTACAGTCCGCATTGTCCACAATGACACCACTAAACTCTGCGCATCATCGAAGGCATCTGTCACCTACGCAAGACTCGTCACCTGAGCGGGACTACCCGTTGCGCAAATCACGCCATTTTCGCTCTCCTGCATCGTTGTGGTTGTCTTCACCATGTCGTCACACGACGGTAATCGCAGCAAGAAGAGGGACAATTGTGAAGGGGACACAGCTGTGGCCGTCAAGAAAGGGCGACATGTGGCGAGGAACGAGAAGGCTCTTGCGGAGGGCCCTTGGAGGGGGAGTGCCGCTATGGAAGAAGAATGGGTTAGGGATTTCGATGCCGCCGACGAGGACAAAGACTTTGTGACCGACACCGAAGTTGGCGGTAATCGCAGCAAGAAGAGGGACAATTGTGAAGGGGACACAACTGTGGCCGTCAAGAAAGGATGGCATGTGGCGAGGAACAAGAAGGCTCTTGCGGAGGGCCCTTCGAGGGGGAGTGCCGCTAGGGAAGAAGAATGGGTTAGGGATTTCGATGCCGCCGACGAGGACAAAGACTTTGTGACCGACACCGAAGTTGGAGTCGTCAAAGAAGCGTCAGTCCGTGCACAAGAGGCGCTGTGGATTGACGACACGCGACCATGTGCACTGCCTCCCCAACCCTGCGCCGGGGAGGGGGTTCGCAAGCCTGATGTCATCATCGATATGGATGCTGCTCAAGCGATGAGGCAGGTCCAAGCTAAGGCAACTCCAAAGACGGCGCGCGCTGGGGGGACCATTGCAAGGACACGTGTGACTGTGCCGCCTGACACACAAGATTGTGAGCAGGTGCAATCACCCCCAACCACACCACGTGCCCGCATAGTTCCAGGGGCGGGAGGGGCTGCAAACGTGGCTGTGCAAGGAGGCGTCCATGGTGCAGCAGGGGCGGTCGAAGGGGCCAAGGATAGCCTTGGGGATGGCGATGACGACGAGCCTTTGGTGAACAGGCAGCGGTGGGGGAATGCACGAGATGGGATCGAGGCTGCAACAAAGTTGTGGGTCGACGACATCAAGTCTTGGAACGAGACGGAAGGCAATGGGCTCTTCAAACTCGTCCAGGAGGCGCGACTGTATTTGCTGGCCATTGACAGGGGAATCCCCACTCCCGACATCCGTCGTAGTATAGCCCTCCCTCAAGCAAGCATACCACAAGACAAAATCGACGATGGGTCATAGATGAAGGCGGCGAAAGACAGGGCCATCAAAGTGCAGAGCATCATCCATGGGTGGATCTTCAAGTTCGCTAGTCGCTCACGGGGATACCGCTCCGCGTACGGGTACGAGTTGAACCACGTGGCGATGGACATCACCCGCGTCATGTGGCTTGGAGAGGACTGGTGCACAGTTGTCAGCCCCGTTGTCTGCCACATCACACAGGAGATGGACATGAAGCCCCCCCTTTGGTTCGTCAGCATGCACATCGAGGACCAGGCACGAGGATGACGAGGTTGCATGCTACCAAGAGGCAACCATGCAATGCTTGATTGGCGCCTTCACTAGCGCCGTCAGTCTGGCCGAGGGGATCGATCGTTCGCGAATCTCCCACGACAGGCTAAGGAACATCACGGGCGCTATGAGGATTCTATTTGCGGCGTCAATGTCGCTGATGAGGATAAGCGGGGATGATATGTGTTCCCATTTTGATGCGTCCTTGTTCGTCCAACTCACCGCAAAGCCGACACTAGCGGCAGCCATACATCGGTCGTTCGATGATCGTCGCCGTATCATTGCGGCAACCACTGCTATGACGGAGAGGATGGGGAAACCTGCCATGATGTTGGCGGACCCGCCTGTGTACATCCCGGACTGGGCGGACTGCGGGATAACTTTCGGCAAGGACGCCACTCTTTTGTCGCCCATAGCCACAAAACGGCTGTACTGGTTCGGGGCCTGGCCCCCAGGAGGACGATGACGACAAAGCAGGCGGCGGGGACAAGGATGGGGCGGGGTAGAGAAGGACGGTTGGCTTCGCGGAGAAGATGGGGGACATCTCATCATCGGGTGTGTCGGGGTCGGCCACGCAATGGGGAAGGACGCAGTTGGCGGCTGTTTGGCGTCGGTCAGTTACCGGTGCAGTGCTTGTGCGGGTCGTCGGTCTGGCGGGGGGTGTCGACGTCTTGGCAGAGAGAGAGAGAGAG